AGTTGATTTGCATACAAAGCAGAGCTTGCCACATGATAGCTATTCATAAAAGGTGTTTTTTTTTACTTTTCATATAATACAGTAGTCACACAATGAGGCAGTTCATATTTGTCTCAGTGAATCATTCATTTTTGACAGACACCTGTACAAAATACTTGGACTAAAGCCAGCTAAATTTTTCTGTTGCATGTTTTATGAATCTATTCACATCTAAATGCAGCACTTTTTTTTTGCAATGAGACATTTGTTTTTATTCTAAAATATCTCAATTACTTTCAATAAAGCTGGAAATTATGTTCCTTAAAATAATTAAACAAATAAGGCACCAATGTTTTTGTAAGATATTTACATCTTTTAAGGACATTCGGTAGACTGATTCCCCACTGTTGGTTCAACCCCAAAACTTGTTTGTATTCAAAATTAATTATGACAATGCATATTTATATTGAAACAAACTATGATAAAGGGAATTATATTATATAACAAAGGGCAAGGTCACCAGAGTTCAACTATGTTTTGACATATTATGGATTGTATATATGCATTGGATCGACTGCATTTGTTTTCCAAATGATGGTTATGAGTAATCCAAATTTGACCGGATTACTAGTATTTGCTGTGAGGTTAGCATTGTGCTATCCTCTTCCATGAAGAACATCTGGCATTTAGCTGTACATGGATAATTGTCCTGATAAGTTTATATCAGATTGTGTGGTGTATACACACCTAGAGGGTATGATATTTGGGCAATTCATGATTGTTCGCATGTAACAGATAGGTGAATTGCTCAACAATTGACATGTATATTGGTAATTATATTATACCAATATATTGATGGTGTTAATCCATCCATTTGATTGGTACAAACACACTTTGCTCATGCATACATGTTGTGAATTGTGCAATATCTCGTGGTATACCTGCCTTTGCAGGGGGTTATTGCTTAATCATACCATATATCAGTGAATTGTGAACAACAGAATTTACTATCACTAAATTTGTAATTAGTGTGGGTTTTTGTATATTTGATTCCAGAGGAGTGTATTTACAACTATAGATGCAATAGTTTTTTGTCAACACATTAGGTCACAGCATGGAGGTAAAAAGATTCATGGTCACAGTATTTACAATCAGCATAGAGACGAATTTGACTTCACAAAAATTAACCAAAGGTCAGAACAATGGGTCACATGACCAAAGTGGTATAAATAACATTAAGCCCTAATCCGGTGCATTGTTTTCAAAATACATGTAAATTTTTTTCATGATACTCCACTAAAACAATTTTTTTTTGTCCTGGTATTCAGCTGCACGCGCGGAATTGAGTCCCAAGCGACGATAACACTAAAAACGCAAAGGCTCATGGGTAGCCGCTTGTTTGTAAAAAATGACACGCTGGTAACGACTCCCCGCTTTTAATAGTTTAGAAGAATTTTATGAAATTCCTATGACAGAAGTGTTTTCATCTAGTTTTGCAGTGCATTTTACATTTGATGAATCGTATTCGAGTTGGTGGAATAGTGTACAGTAAATTGTGTGGGGCACTCTTTGTAAGGACGATAATGTGTTTTACTAGTATCTGAAGCGGAAATGGCCACACAAAATAATCGATTTGAGGTTGAAAACGACAGAAAAAAAGAATCTCGAGTCCAACCAAAAAAAATCATAAGCCGTGTTTCCAAGGCCTCGAGCGCTAAGCAGTAAGTTCTTACATACGGTGGTTAGACAGTCGGTCAGTTTATGATGATTTAGACAAGACAAGAGTGTTCCCTACCGGTACCCCTGTGCGTATATACGTTATTTAGCGCAATGTGTCGATGTCAGAAAACTGTCAGATTTGTATTCATAACGAAAAACAAACGTGGGCAAAGACGGGAACGAGTCTTTTTTTTAGTGTTCTGATAAGATTACTTCATCTGGCTGGAAAGAATTTATGATATGTTAACTTTGAACATAAATCGTCACCACGTTTTGTTTGGTTGGCACCACGGACGTACTAACAAAAGTATTGCTCCATCCGACCGCATTATGTTATAACACGGGGTAGGTACAGTCATGAGGCAATCTTGAAGAAAATTCCTGCATGTATGATCATAGTGTCACGTGATTTGTACATTCATAATACGTCCTATTGTATGGGCATGGCGACGTCTGCTTGTAATGAACACCGCCACCTTGGTTGCAACGCGCCGCTAACGCGTGTCAGTGTCAGTGTTTATGTGCGCGCAGGCTCATGGGAAGGAAATGACAATGCGTGCGATCGTGTTCTAAAATTCTATTTGGAGCTTGCCGTGGCAACACTACAACAACTTGTTTGAGGATCGCACTCTGTAGACATACTAGAGCACATCGCATTGTATTGCAATCCCAACAACTTTTCAACAGACGAACAAAGTACTCTGCATAGTGTTTGAAAAAGTTCTACTAAATTACACAGAGATTCAAGTCAAAGAATTCTGAGTTGGTAAGTTTGTGGCGCAAAACTTCATCGTATCGTTTATTCCTTATATTCCATATATCGTATTTATTATGTCAGTCATTGAGTTCACACGTCCTGTTTTTACAAACACTCGAGATAAACGACAGAGATGATAACAAATTAATGTTGGGAGATTCAGTTTTGAACAATGTAATGGTAAATTCAGACATTATATAAATGATTACAATTAACACAGATGTTTTGTTTACAGGTATCTGTCATTTTTAAAGAAATCATGTATCACCAAGAAACGAGAGAGGTTTGCCATATGTACGTAGATGACGGAAAAGATATGTTGGGACAGCGCCATCACGCAGTCATTAAAAGACGGGGAAGAAACGTATCGTATGAACTAAAAATATCGAATTGTGGTGATTATATGACACCAGTGGAGACTACGTCACAATATAACCATGGTAATGTGCTCATTTGCCTGTCACCAAGGTCTGTGCCAGTCTCGCCTATCTCGTTAGTTGAGTCGGTGGAAGAAATACGTCAGGATAGCGCCGCCATGAGTTCAAAGGACAGAGAAAGTGTCGCCAGTCACACGCCTCTTACACTTACCAGCCCGGTTAAAACGCCAACCTTAAACGGTTGTTATGACAGCAAATTCAGTGACGAGGAAAACAAACTTAGTGATGTCTATAAAAGTGATGTTGATGCTGACAACGAAACCCACTTTGAGGTCGGTAAACTAAACAATTTGAATCACGCGATGCTCCAAAACAAGACGTCGTCTTCTGAACAGCAAAGTCAGGCTAGTAAATTGCCTCGACCAATCAGCAGACAAAGTAGTAAATTGCCTCGACCAATCAATAGCATGGGTAGCAAGCTTCCTCAGCCAATCAAAAGCCTTATGTTGCCACGACCAATCAATAGCATGGGTAGCAAGCTTCCTCGACCAATCAAAAGCCTGGATAGTAAATTGCCACGACCAATCAAGAGCCCGAGAAGTACATTCTCTCAATCTATCAACAGCCTGGGTGGTAAATTGCACCAACAAATCAGCTGCCATGGCAGTAAATTGCCTCGCCCTATCAACAGCTCTGTGAAAGAAAACAAAAACAACAACAAAGCCAATAAACCAAAGAAGATGAAGAATTGGCTGAACATGTTTTTGAGATTATCTCCAACTAAAAAGTGTTTTTCAAAATCATCATTTTCCTCCCATAATACGATATCAAGTAAAGGACATTCTGGAAGTAAAATACCGATTCCAATTCGTGACCAGTCGGTCATTCACACAAGGTTGAATTATATTGCAGCGAAGTTAGATAAACTCAATTTGTCCAAGGACAAGTTCAAGACTGACCGCCAAGCGAGCAACCGACGAAAACCTGTGAAGTCGCTATCACGGGACAGCGTGAATTTCAGCCAGAAGGAAATGTCAAGTAGTGGAGAAACAAAACTATATGAGAATAAAACCAGTGGTAACGATAACAAAGACTTCAAAGTGAAAAGTACTGAAAATCAGAATATCAATGACATTTCCTCATCCCATTGCAACGGACCACAAGAAGTGGCCAACATGTTTGGATATATTCAGAAAAAGTCTGAACAAAAAGGTTCAAATTTCAAGACAGTCAACAACGAAAGTAAAATACCGGTTCCAGTTCGTGATCAATCGAAACTTCATAGAAGTTTGAATTACATCACGCGAAAGTTGGGTAAACTGACGTCACCTATCAACATGTTTCGGAGCAAACGTGGAAATAAGGTGACACCACTTTCGCTGATGTACGACGATGAAGAAGACAGACGGATGAATACAACAGTACAAACGTCGGTCAAATCATTTTCCAAAGCTGAAATTAACAACAACGTGATTAAAGTCAAGCCTTGGGCCAAACAAGTAATATGTCTCAACGGTAAAATGAAATGTAAACGACTACAACAATGTTTGTGTCATTTAAAGCTAACTGGGGCTGAAGTTCCAAAGATAGACCCTTTCGTAGAAAATGACAATTTTGTCTTGAAACGATTTCTTCAAGATACCATATGCTATACGGATGACGTCAAGTCAGAGAAATCTTCAGACGACTCTTATAGTTGTATTTCCAATCTCAGTAATATTACAGACTCTCTCTAATTTTTTTATTTATATATACTTAAATAATGTAAATAAATATGAAATTTGAATTTAAATCAGTTGCATTCTTTTTATTCAGTGAGAGATGTGAGACTGATTAGTCACATAACCTGTCACGCCATCTACGTCATGTTTTGCTTCAAGAACAGCCGCCATGTATACCTCAGGCCTGTGTATGTGTATTTTTTCTTTATATTTGACGTTTTAATATTGTCACCTGTGTATATAGGGTCCGGCGAGGAAGGGAGTTGACGCACGATACCTGAAAGGTGCTTTGTAAGTATTATATATTGTTTGTTTGTGGGAGAGGTATGGAGGTTGACACCTACAAATATACTCCCAGATACAAACTGCAAGCACTATAGTATTAGTACTAGTATATTATAACAGAAAATAGCTGGACGTTTCGGGCAATGACTCGGCATATGAGAATATCTATTTCAAAAAGTTACTGAAGACAACGATTGCCAAATATTGATTCATAATGATGGAATTATTTGCAATATATATATATATATACCGAAAAGATGTATTTTTAATGTTGAAGACCAAAATTGGACGAGTTGGTTTATCGTCAAACTAGAAATGTTTTGTATTTTTTACTGGACACAATATATTCATTCAACGAAAAGTTAATTTGCACATGCGTAGTAAAGACTGTTATCAAGGTGTGATTGGCTCTGTTTTTGTTTTAAGACTTTGATAACCCACCTCCAAATGAACACAACGTTTGCTGTTGGGCTGTACTAAATGCACACTGGCATTTCAACAAAAAATAACTACATTTGTTTAATTCTGATGTGGTGACTCTTTTAATGACAACGATATCGAATCCCCCATAGTGTCGAACATTATCTTAGGTCATAGAACCGTCTCGTCATCTGATATATGGCGTTGGTGTTATTCGTCGGATGATTTTCAACAAAGATTTTGGAAGTTTGAGATTTTTTTCAAGAGTTGTTATTTTGTTTTTTCTTTCGTATTTTAGTCTACAAAGTGTTAAGTAAATTTAGACTCAGTGATTACAATCTAGAGATTGAACAAGGGAGAAGGAACAACCCAAATATGATGTTAGATGACAGAACATGTAAAAAATGTAACATAAATTCTCTTGATGATAAGAAGCATTTTATCCTTAAATGTCCTTCCTTTAAAAGTTTGTGATCTCAAGTATAATTTACCAGATGATATTTTTCTTGAGGTAATAAAAAATGCAAAAGCCCTTTTACTATACCTTGAAGATACTATCTATAAATCCCCTGATTAAAAGTTGCGAAAATATTGAAGTTTTTATTTTTATATTTTTTAGTCTTTTATTTTTTCAGTTTTATTGTTTGTTTTTATTACATTTGTTTATTTTTGTCTTGTTGTTCTCTTTCCCTTACTAAATCCTCTTATGATTTAGTTGTGTAATAAAGTTATTATTCAACCAATATGTTATTTAGTACTACATACGTCAACCAAAGACCTCAACACCCTCGTACACTAATTTGTTTAAATAATAATGTTAGTCAAGAATTAACCATGCATATCAATCCAGCCAAATAGGGCTCCCCATCTGGCTTTGTTGCCTTTCTTGTTTATACCTCATGCGGGCGTTTGTTTTATGGCAAGATGGCGCGGACGGAAGTGCTTCGCAGTTTTATGGTTTCTCATATTAAAATCATTATAACTCTGAACATAATCATCCTTTTTAATTTTGTTTTTCAAATTTATAATCAACATGCATAACTTTATACACACAGATACCAAATTAGGCTCTATTTAGTTTCTCTTTGACGTGTTTTTATTCAACTTTTCTAAATTCTTTACTTTATTTTTATTTTACTTGACTATGTTCATCTTCTATAGAAAGAATAATGTCAATAATGTTATCTTATCTTATAGTTAATCCGATAAAATTACGAAAGACTACACAATCACTGGAGGGCGCGATTTACAGAAATGCTTACCCGTGTCTTGAACTGACCCCCCTAACGAGATCGTTATTAATACATCATGCAGCATTCGTGTGCGTCTTGTCTGACATCTATTTGAACCTGGAACCCCGGTAACCGCTGCCGCATTTGACCTACATACAACATGTCTCTTTTCCGTTCTACCATCAGCGTTTTGCGAAACAACTCTTTCCTTGGAAGCACGCTAGTAAGTTCTATTCTAGAGCAACTGTCCCAGTTTTTCAAATGTATTAGAGGTTGGTATAATCACTGAGGGACTGTGGTATATCGTGGTTGTACTAACACGTCCATGGTATAATCATGGCAGGTAGTAGCTTCTGTGGAATAAAGCACGGATGATCGTGTTCATGGAACTACGTAACCCTTGGTCCAATGATTTTGGTTTCGTTTCTGGACGTTTTTGACATTGTGGGCTGCACTTCAAAGGCGGATCCATGGAAATCGACCTTACTAATTAATGCAAGTAAAAGCAAATCCTATATGTAAATCACGGTGCAAACCTCCGGGGTGCAATCCGCGGATTTATTTTTATGCATGGGAAAAGCGACTCTACACAAAGCTCATATTACAGAAAATGCGATTTAAGGGTCGTGTAGAATTTGGTCACGTGATTGGAACAAGGAAAATTATGGCCCATTTATTTATTTATTTTTAGCGATGGCACATAAAATCAATAAGAGACCTGAGAGAGACAGCCTCTCAAGATGGCAACTTATTTGACATTTCGTCCAGTGCCTCGTTTTTTTTGACATTTATAAATGAGTGTAGTAATTTTATATTATCGGTTTGGTGAGAATATAACAAAATGCTACAAAAGTTTAATAAATAAGACAATATTACTGTCATGAATTTTGATATTATATTAGTTAATAGATATTTCTAATCAGTGTCATTCATGGTAAGAAATATTAGGAGTAGTTTTGATACATAACCATCTATAGTGGTCTATTATATTTACAAAAACAAATTTTGTTTGTGTAATGCATCATTTTAATTAAAAACAATCTAAGAGGACAATTAGGGGGAAGTGTCACCCACCAAGAAAAAATTACGATGTCAATTTTAGTGTGCATGTTATACAGACTTTACATGTGCAATTAATTCCAGTGCAAAACTTTTCAAAAGTTTGTGTACAATTATTGTAAATCACCTTCAATAAAAGGGAGGTTTTGTCCAGTAAAGACAGTAAGACATTTTTTAGGGTATTTGGCTAGTGCTGGTTCCGAAAATGTGTTATACAGGTGCTCAGGGTGCGCTGAGCCTCGATTTCAGGTATCCTTACACCACCAGACTATCTTGCCAGAATTAAAGTCAATTTTCAGTTTTTACTCAAAAAATGTTACTATTTTTGTCTTAGTATTCTCAAAGACATTCTCTTTCTAATGTTTTTGATATTCTAAAGGAAAGTGCGGACTATAAACAAGACTATTTTGTGAATTTGTGCTGAAAAGAGGGAACTGGGGGTAAAAGGTCAAACATTGTTTTTGCCAAATTATTGTAAAGGCGGTAAGGTATGATGTGTTATCCCTTGGTAAAATTGCCAGACAAGCATTTTCTGGTCAATTTTAAGGTATGAATTTTTAAAATGCATATGTGCGTGCTCAAGGTTGTATTTAACCTTGATTCTAATTTTTAGCCTCGTCAAATTATTGGAAAACTTACTCAATCTGTGTCCCATGAGCACTAAATAATACTCATAATTTTAGACCTGAGGATATTTTTATGACATTGCAATTTGATTTTATTACATTTGCGAAGATTTAGACCACTTTATAAATATTTTTAGCATTTTTAAAATATTTTATATATAGCACTTCGCGATGGGCTTTTTTCATGGTCAATCATATTCATGAAAACATTTGTTCACTGTGACGATTTCTTAGACCTTTTATAGCTGGGTTCACAATGACCACCACCAATTAGACATTGTCACAGCATTTTGGCTAATTTTTAACAAATCCTAAATTACTCTGGGTAATTTTGTTTACTTTACATGTGTACTACATGTACGTGTATGTTTGCATTTAAAGTTTGATAACTTTAATGGGAACGCAATACACATAAATTCTCAAAGAAGAATTAAAATAGTTATATAACAAATAGTGAAAACAATTAAAAAAAATACTAGAAAACACCCAATAACATCATATCTGTGGGCAGTATTTGCAGAATTGGTTGAAGGTGTAGTTGTCTAGTACTGAGACTGGCCCAGTCATGGCTATGTTATATGATATTTCCTTGAAGAAGTTTGTAGAATTTTTCAAGCTGATATGGTAATTACTACAGAAGGAAATGTAGCTACTCAGTGCAATACCACAAAATTACGGCACTCTGTAACTTAGGCGTTATAGAGACAGATATATACCGGTAATAATATTTTGTAATATTGGATTTTATAGTTATCATGTGAACAAAAATACTCCCATTATTGATAATATTAGGTATAGGAAATATTCCACTAAAATGGGTTTTAAAAAAAAAATTATATTTTTAAAATGAGTATCATTATCATTCCAACTTATTTGTAATATTTACCTATGTTACTAAAGTTGACATTTAGGCAGCTGATGTTGCATAATAAAATAAGTACATGTATCAGTTTTAAAAGCAACCTAGGTTTAGCTTTAAGCCAGATTAAATCTTCAGCTGCTCCTGTAGATGAAAATGTTGTGATTGCAGTTATCAACTTTTTACAGAGCTCTGTAATAAAAAGACGAATACACACTGGTATTCAAGGAAAGGTTGCCTTGGTAACTGGATCAAGCGATAAAGATGGAATAGGAATGTCAATTGCCAGGAGTCTTGCAAAGAGAGGTTGTAGTGTTGTATTGCATGGAACAAGAGATGTTGACAAAGTGGAAGCTATGCGAGAGGAATTGCAGAGGTATAATGTGTAACTAGAACTTTTTTCTGAAATTGTAAAATAGATCTCTAAAACCTCTATATTACAATTATTTTATAAATCAAATTACTGTAAAATACTTTTAGCTGGAATTAATTTTTGCTGAAAAGACATTTTGTGTGTTCTCTAAGTTTATTTCCACTGATTTTTGATGAGTTGAAAGTAAAATATATTAAAAAAGGTATTATTGCTGGATTTTATTTGCACTAAATTGTCCCTTCAGCTAAAATAATTCAAAGCCAAAAATTTTAAAAGTATTTTACAGTAGTCTTTTGCATATTATGTGGTTATTACGAGGTTACCGACAAGTACACACAAGGACAGTACAACTGGAGTATCAACTGATGCGTATTATGACAGCTGATGCCAAGTCTTATTCATGTGTTATTTTATTTTCAGTGAATGTGAAGTCCCTGTTCATTATTTATGTGCAGATTTTGATAAAATGAATGAAGTGGAAGGTCTTCATCATAAAATCAAAGACCTTTATTCTGATGGTATTGATATCTTAGTGAATAATGTGGGTAAGTGAGTGTCTTCTAAGGTTTGACGATATCCATCACTGGGATAAATATTGATTTGTAGACTCTGGGCTCCACTGTAGGACTCAATGTTATTGTCTGTTCAGACCTCTGTCCATGCATCCTTCCAATCAACTGTATCTGTATCTTGGACAAGCCTGAACTGATTACCCGGTATGTATAATTTCACACATATGTCACATATTGTGGGACACATACACTGTATGCACATGTATTTGCTTCATAATCTGATTCAAGGTGTCATAAGAGCAGCCATTTTTGTGCCAAAAATTCAATAAAAACATTTCTATCTTTCTGAAACCTGATGTATAAAACTGTCTGTTGGATTATTTATTTGTGGCCGAATGGCAACCATTTTAGTGCCAAAAACTCAATAAAATCAAGCATACCTATCATTCCGAAAACCTGATGTATAAAAATGTCTGTTGGGTTATTTATTTGTGGCCGAATGGCAACCATTTTAGTGCCAAAAATTCAATAAAATCAAGCATACCTATCATTCCGAAAACCTGATGTATAAAAATGTCTGTTGGGTTATTTATTTGTGGCCGAATGGCAGCCATTTTAGTGCCAAAAATTTCAATAAAATCAAGCATACCTACATTTCTAAAGCCTGATGTATAAAAATGTCTGTTGGGTTATTTATTTGTGGCCGAATGGCAGCCATATTAGTGCCAAAAATTCAATCAAGCATTCTTATATTTCTGAAACCAGTTGTATAATAATGTATGTTGGGTTTTTATTTCAGGAGTTCTTCATTATGCACCTGTGGAAGAGTTTGGAATTGACATCTGGGAGAAAAATATACGTATTAATTTGACATCAGCATTCTACTTGACAAGTTTGTCATTATCCCAAATGAAAAAAACAGGTGATATGCCAAAGTTGCTATAGCAACATTACTTTGTGTTCTTCCATTGGAGACATTTGCAAGCCATTATAATAATGTTACCTTATTCAGCTAGTCCAATTCATTAACTATTGAGTTTTTATCATATGAGTGATTGTCCGTCGTCGTTCGTGTCAATGTTTTACTTTTTCGACTTCTTCTTGAAAACTACAAGTCTGAATGCTTTGATACTTGGTGTTTATGTACCTTGGGTAGACTTCTTAGATTTGTTCATTTCATGATGATATCTTCAATTCTCTAATTTTGGTGAATATTTTTGTCATTTTTGGTAAAATGTGATATTTTCAACTTCTTGTTAAAAACTGCAAGTCCAATTGCTTTGATATTACATGTATAGATACTACATGTGGACCTCTCTCAGATTTGTTCATTTTGTAATGATATCTTTAATTCTCTAGTTTTGGTGAATATTTTTGTAATTTTTGATAAAAAGTGATATTTTCAACTTCTTGTTGAAAACCGCAAGTCCAATTGCTTTGATATTACATATATAGATACTAGTGTGGTTCTAACTCAGATTTGTTCATTTCATGATGATATCTTTAATTCTCTAATTTTGATGAATATTTTTGTAATTTTTGGTAAAAAGTGATATTTTCACTTCTTGTTGAAAACCGCATGTCTGATTGTTTTGATGCTATAAATATTGTTCATTTTCTAATGATATCTTCTGTTCTTTAATTGAAATGTGCATTGCTAACGGCGGAGCTATCTCAGCCGAGAGGCTGCTTTATCAACCACTGCCAGTCTGACATGTAACAAAATCTAAATAGGCCACTTTCATTGCAGGTTGGGGTAGAATTATAAATATCAGTTCTATTTTCGGCATTAATGGATTACCGAATGTTGCTTCTTTGGTTGCAACCAAACATGGTATGCATGGTTTAACAAAGGTATGTATGTTGTCCCAATTCAGACACAGGCTGATATCAAAGACTTGTAGATTAACCTATCTATGTATACATCTGTCTGTCCATTCATGGATTCTCAACTGTATCTTGGATATATGGACAGATCACATTCAGACTTGATGCAAACTTTAATCTTCAGATATATAGAAACATTTATTTGTTTCATGATCTGATTCAAAGTGGCGGTATAGCAACCATTTTAATGTTGAAAGTTCATCAAAATTACATTTCGATCATAAATGAACAGACAGCTGTTTTTCAAACTAGGTACAGACATACAGAAATTTTGCAAAAATGAATGTGTTCTAGAGCCTTACCTCTGACATGACTTGACTAATTGCAATCCAACTTCACATCTAATTTAATATACATCATTGTACTATATTTAACAGATGTAACTGTAGGAATCCCAAATTAAAAAAATATGAATTGTATATCATCAAATGATTTAAAGTAGATGGTTTAAAGTATGGAAGGATTTATAGGTTCTTACAGTGGAATAAACATGAGCTAGATTTATCAAATCAATGGTTTAACTAGAAATATATGAACTGTTTTATACTTGACAGATTTATTGAATCTAACTGAAGAATTCAACTATAGTGAATGGGATAAGGTAGCTGATTTAGTATTCCAGTTAAGCCAGACATAGTTAATGAGATAAGGTAGCTGAATTGGTTTTCTAGTTAAGCCAGATATAGTTAATGAGATAAGGTAGATGAATTGGTATTCTAGTTAAGCCAGACATAGTTAATGAGATAAGGTAGCTGAATTGGTATTCTAGTTAAGCCAGATATAGTTAATGAGATAAGGTAGATGAATTGGTATTCTAGTTAAGCCAGACATAGTTAATGAGATAAGGTAGCTGAATTGGTATTCTAGTTAAGCCAGATATAGTTAATGAGATAAGGTAGCTGAATTGGTATTCTAGTTAAGCCAGACATAGTTAATGAGATAAGGTAGCTGAATTGGTATTCTAGTTAAGGCAGACATAGTTAATGAAATACAGTAGCTGAATTTGTATTCTAGTTAAGGCAGACATAGTTAATGAGATAATGTAGCTGAATTGGTATTCTAGTTAAGGCAGACATAGTTAATGAGATAAGGTAGTTGAATTGGTATTCTAGTTAAAGCAGATTTAGTTAATAAGATAATGTAGCTGAATTGGTATTCTAGTTAAAGCAGACATAGTTAATGAGATAAGGTAGCTGAATTTGTATTCTAGTTAAAGCAGACATAGTTAATTAGATAAGGTAGCTGAATTGGTATTCTAGTTAAGGCAGACATAGTTAATGAAATACAGTAGCTGAATTTGTATTCTAGTTAAAGCAGACATAGTTAATGAGATAAGGTAGCTGAATTGGTATTCTAGTTAAGGCAGACATAGTTAATGAGATAAGTTAGGTCAAGGAAGCTGAGATTCTAGTCGCACATTTGTTATTTGCATGTTGTAAATTTTTATGCAAATTTTTGGGGGCAACAGTTTATATATAATTTTTCTCTGTCTATTGGTCTTAATCAAATAGTGATTTTTATGTGGAAAAAATATATATATTGTGGAAAGTGACGTTGATATTGTGGAATTTGGCATTCAAAACATCAGAGTTAAACAGATGAGATAAACAGATAATTGAGTATATATTGTCGTTAAATAGCTCAAATATAAGTCATAGAATGGATCAGGAAAAGGATTTAGAGTGTCACTCTGGTTTTTACAATTGTTACAATCCAACCTTCCCAATATAAAACAATATTATATTTGATATTATGAAAGTATAATGAACTATTTTTTTTTTGTAGACTGTTGCCTTGGAAACATCAGGATCAGGTATAACCTGTAACGCCATCTGCCCATCAATAGCGCTAACAGCCTGTAAGTTTTTTGTTTGTGTTACTCATTAATGAAACACAATATATATGTGTATATGGGCAAATTAACTAACACTAACTCGAATTAGTGTGCTTTGAAACATTTTTTAAATGCATTAGCAATAATGGTTTATGATTAATTTGAACTTTAATATCAAAACTCATGATGTATATTAAAAATAATTCTTTTATCAGGTGCAGTAGGCTTTTTTTCAAAAATGAAAACTGGTGGATTGACTTCCATTCGTTCATATGTCTGTGTGTCCCCATGTTTAGCTTTCATCTGCATGGTCCAATCACATTCAAACTTCATACATACATCTTGGGAGGCACATGAATGCCCATTTTTGTAACGATATGATTCATGATGGCAGATTTGATTAGAATTTTGTTAAATTGTATGCATATAAATTACCTAATTTGCATGATAATTAGCTAATTTGTAGCTGTTCTATGACTGTTCTTCTGATATCTAAAGAACCACTCATTGGATTTTGATTAGTCAATGTTCAGCTTTTGATATCGCAGATACTAATCATCACATTGTAATGAATCTTGATTCATAGATGTCATAGACGATCACAGACCTGACTGGTTTTAGGTTGATAATATATTCGCATATTATTCAATTTGCAGCTTTTTCATCAGAAGTACTTATGTTATTTCAATGAGTTTTTTGTAAATACATATACCCTAAATAATAATATTACTGCATAATAATTTACTGAAATTTTTTCAGGATTAATCATTACATTATAACGAAACTTACTACATGTGCACACTGGAACAATACACAGACCTAAATGTATGCATAATAATTGATTAATTTGCATAATAATTTGGTTCATTGGAGTATTCTACAGACATGACTAGTTTTACTTTGTAAAGCATACATATTTATTATCTAATTATTATTATAGCCCATTTCTGATATCTCAAAAACTCTGATTTAAATTGAATATGTCAGAGTTGCTCTGGAATGAATTAGACTGAAAACCATAGACATAAAATCAAATATATTTTCTGTATGTATTATAAATTTTGATAATGTGGTTCACATAGTTTTTATGTTGTGCATCTCAAGTAGCACACAAATATTAGTGGCCAAGCGTTTTGTTTGAAAAGGTAATCTTAAATTTTGAATTAATTTTAATGTGTCTCTAATACTCTCAGCATGCAAGCTTAAGCTTTCTTTGATTTATACTTAAAATTCGGTGAGCTTGTCTGCCATTCCAGAACTGGAACATAGGATAATGAGAACTTGATGCACATTATTTTGTTTTTCATAAAAGACTCAAAATGGCAGACTGGAAGCCATTTTGTTTTAAAGAATGCTGTTCTAGTGTCATGTCTCTGATATGCCTTGACCAATTATGTTCAAATTACATCATACATTATTCATTGAATGTTCAGTTTCAAGGCTGCTGAATGGCAGCATTTTTTAATGTTAAAAACTTAACTAAATTAAAAATTTCTGGATCCAGATATTGCTCACAGCTATTGTTCAAACTTGGCTGAATGGCAGTTATTTTGTGAATGCTGTTCTGGAGCCATCATTGACATGTCTTGATTGATTGATTGCAATTAAACTTTACAACTACAATGTACATCATGTAGCATTTGTTTTTAATTCTGATTTAAAATGGCTCATTTTGGTGTTGATTACTCTTGACCTATGGGAAATCTGTCATGACTTAAAGAATAAATTCATCAAGACTTGTCAGTCTGATGTAACCTTAAACTCTAATCATTTCTCTTATTTAATGCAGCTGGTAAAAGTTTCATGAAGACTGGAGCAGGTAAATCTGGAATGACAGTTGAAGAATTTGAGGTATGATTTTCAATTCTAATAAAGTTTTCTTTTTTTGTATGTTATTCAAAGCTCTTAAGTGAGTGCACATTAATGTCAATTGTCTGGATGGATCAAATGATGATATTGTTGTAGTAATCTGCTGTCACATGGTAGATACAATAGAAAATGGACATGATTCTGAGATCTTATTAAAAACAAAACATACTGTAGAATACTTTATTTTCACTTGCAATTAATTTTCGCTGTAGGAATAATTCAGTGAAAATAAAATCCAGCGAATATACCTTTTTTCCTATATTTAACATTCAGCTCGTTAAAAATCAGTTAAAATAAATTCCATACAAAACGCCTAAAAAGTCTTTTCATCGAAAACTAATTCCTGCTAAAATAAAGTACTTTACAGTAATTGTAGAATGTTTTCCATGCGTGAAGCAGATTAAATATGGAAGATATGCACGTAACAATCCCAAATGCACTACGTAATACTTTGCTGTCACTTTTCAGTGATTTGGCGGAGTCACAGACAGATTATTATCAGAACAAAAGTCTTGCCTTATATAATTTCAATGCTACGATAGTTATAAACACTTCTGTTGCTATTTAGCTTTTCTTTGCTTATTTGTTTGATGAAACAATTGTCTTTCTCAACAAGTAATCACGTTACATTATGTTTTGGCAAAGTCATTTCAACTAGACATTTATACGTGTCCCATTTTTTCAACAGAAAATGGTAATTACTCATACACATCCTTCTGGAAAACCTCTGGACGTGTCTAAGGTACGTTGTATCAAGAATTTATGATGAGGAGGGTATGCAAATTCCATGACTATATATGGTGATGCGTGATGAATATCTCACGTAAAGTAGGCTCCAGGGCTTTGCGAGGATTTGAAAACGATCCCCTTCTGTGGTCGACAATCAAACGTATTTCTGACCAATAGTATCAGAGAATGCAGTGGATGGTTGGAAATGATGGATTGCGTAAACAGGAATCTGTGAGATGATCACTGTATTCAAAAATTCATGGAAACAATCAAAAAACTTTTGACAATTTTTGTGATCATCATGCACTTCATATCACATACTGTAAAGGGGGTAATTATTCACTGGGTTTTAATTTAGCTTATTTCGCTGACTGGAAAAATGCGCTAAATTAAAACACAGTGAATATGTAAAATTTAGCATAGAACACATTATCTAAATGACAAAACCATGAATTTAAAACCCAGTGAATATCCCTGAAATGGTAAATCAGTGAAATTTAAACCCAGTGAATATTAGTCATTTTACAGTATCATATCACATTCCTTGCAAGCCCATTCATATACGATATTTGAATATATCCCAAATAGAATTGAAATTTGTTGACTGTGCAATTTTCCAATGCATATCAAGGTGATATTGACTGTCCGTGTGTTAGCTGTCAGGTATATCTACCCCTTTTGTAAGACGCCTTGTTACCATCATTTATTTGATAAGATCAATTAAAAAAAAAATTACAACTTCAGACACTGGTGGCGCTGTGCTCAATGACTCTATGTTCCCATGTATACATACATTTCTGTGTGTTTTTACTGCTAAATTGTAGGTTCATTATTTTAAAACAGTTTAATGTATTTTTCTATAATTTTTTAATTAGTTTTCAATAAAATGGTCATTATTTTTCATTAACTGCAAGTCTTGAAGGGGAACAGATACTATAAATAGGGGCAAGATGGCCACCGCAATTAGTAGGCTAATCCGGGAGCTCCGGGAAATGTGTCATTTACGCTGTTTGGAGACCAAGCTGTGATTCCAAATACATTTCTACGGGGGAATTAATATGTACGCTAGTGAATTACACTTATCTGGTTGGGCTTTTGATATATAAATGTTGTTGTTTTTGGTCAAAAAGTAAAAATCCTGAGTTTAAAATGGCGGCTAATGTATGCAAAATGCCTGTCAATCACAGTTTGAGTAAGCGAGCATAATAAGCATTCATTTACTTAGTGGACAGAGGCAGAGTTAATTACCCATGAGCATCTGGTGCAATCCATAGGATTGAGGGGTTCCCCTTTCATCAAAATTATTAAAAACGATGATGTTGTGTTTACTAAATTTGTCATGTGACAGGTACTTGAAAACCTAGAATGTTGTAATAATAGTTTAATTTTATTTTCAGATTGGTGAATTGGCAGCTTTCCTCTGTTCCCCGGCTGCTGATGAAGTTACAGGAACTATTATTCCTATTGACTGGGGAACAACGGCGAAATAGTGATTCACAACAAATACCATAATCCTTCATTGGTTTATGCACAAATAATTATTTTTTGAGAAGAATGAGTTGTTAGAAGAAAAATTTAAAGCGAGAGGGTCGTCACCTGCACACACGCGGGAATTGAGTCCCAAGCGACGATAAGAACACACGCTAAAAACGTAAAGGCTTATGAGTAGACGCTTGTTTGTAAACAATGACACGCTATGGCCATCTGACGCATACGTAGATAACAACTCCTCCGCTTTAAATTGCCGTATAGTTTTGAGTGGTTAAATTATAGTTAGTTTTAGTCATTGGTAACATAATTGCCAATGTCAATCATGGTAATTTCAAATAGAAATCATGTGAATACTTGAAAATAGAACACAAGCAGAAAGATTCTTTGGTTTTATATCTTGTCTAAGCCTAGTATTTGTTTTAGCAAAAATTGGGTGGTCCAACTAAGTTATACAATCATATTGTTGTGTTGTACATAGAAATATATTTACTGAAATTAAGAGAATATCACTGTACCAAACAAGCCCTTGTCTTGTCTTGTATGTGTGTCTGTCCGTGTGTCTGTCTGTCTGTGTGTCTGTCTGTCTCTTGGTTATTTGGTCAGTCAGTTATCTGTTTTCTTGTTAAGTATTTGTATTTGATTTCATGTAAATTCATTTTTGGTACTTAGAATAAAATTATTCATACGTTCCTACTTAAAGTACAAATTTTTGGCCTTGTGCCCCATCGTTTGTGGTTGTGTGTTTAGTAATTGCATGAGTGGCCATGCTGTTTGAAGTGTAACAGCCACACTTCAAACAGTACAGCTAAGAATTGTGAATAACAACTCAGGTCATGGCAATATAAATATAAACACAAGTAAACAATATTTGAATCCTACAACACCAGTGTCTAGCAGTCTAGCTTGCATTTCTTTCAACAAATCCAGCCATCCACAAAGTTTTTATAAGGTCGAACCGTAATTGAGAAAAATGAGCATATCCAACAGTTTTTTAGGTACGTCTCCCCTTCAAATCAAGTATTATTACCCCTGCATACCATGTTTCTTTCACATTCCATGCATGCATGCAGTCTTTGCATTGCATCGCATCATGATAGATATGGGACTCATAGTGGGCATACTATGTGTTAAAATGCAATTTTTATGCATAATTCAAACATGTGCCTCTGGTGCTTTAATAATAATAATTCTGATAATTTATTCACATGTAGCCATGAACATTTACATGGTGTGGTTATATAACACTGTACCCTCACAACTCTTTGAAATGTACACAAGACTAAACGAAATCAAAATTACTAAATCAAACTAACTAATAATAATACTAATAATAACTTTATTGCATCCTTAAAAATACAATGTTTCTATCAGTTAATAACTATGATCAGAGGTACATTACTTGGGGTTTGCAACTACAGTGACATGATACCAAGATCCCGTTTCAATCTCGCTCTAACATAAGCGTTCCAACTCAGAAAAATGCGCATGCCCGAGGTAACTAGGATACTGGGAAGTCAAGGTGGATCAAAATACCTGCTCACGATATGACTGATTACGATAACTATATCGTTTTATTACAAACCGCCTATGGCATGTCAGAAGGTAGTAGCATCAGTCTCGCTATCTACGAGATGAAACTTGAATGGGATCTTGGCAGGATGTCACCATACAATACTATGCGAGTTGCAAACCCCAAGTAATGTACCTCTGCTATGATTCAATCACAGTGGAAACAGTCAGCAACAAGAAACTCGTCATGGCTGATATTATGCGATTTTCAATTCATTGTAAGATCTCTCGTATTGCCACAAAGATTAGATGATTTGTATTTGATTTGTTTTAGATAACTCAATATTGAAATTCCGTTTTTTTCAGAGAGGTATGTATCGCTGAGAACCCCGGCCTTCATTATGTGTAAATACCCCCCCCCCCTCCACAAATACTTTCGCGTTTGTCAAATCCCACGTGATGGTTTAGATGCATGTCTCAATCAGCTGTCTTCTAAGTACAAGAATTGCATACTTCCGATCAGTTTTCAGCAGTATCAAACAACTAAGTTATTTAAGCGTGACACCACGTGTAACCAGTCAGAGTCGGACTAATAATCTATGCGTTTTGGAAAAGTCCAGAACGGCCATCCGCTATATATCGCGATATTTAGACAGTCTAAATATCATCTATGCTAGAACAGGCAGCTACATGTGTACGGGGGTCTTGTTAAAAATATGCGTGATAGCAATCAGTTTTGTGTTATGCCAATTAGCGGATTGATAGGACTAGCATTTTATTTAATACATAGAGGGGATTATAACAGCACAGATTAAATGCGTCCATTGTCTTGAATAGGTTAATTTCCTCATAAACATCTAATACTTTGGGAAAGTAACCAATGCTATATCCCATATTCATCTCGGCTCCTAAATAGCGCCGTAGTTTATAATTCAGCTCGTCTAAATAGCGTCGTAGTTATTTCAAAATCCCAAGACATCGTTTCTAAATAGCGCTGTAGTTCATAATCTAGATGTTCTAAAAACAAGCTATATAGGCCCGAGAAATAATAATTTCAAAGTAACAAGTCGTCGTTTCTAAATAGCGCCATAATTTATCATTTAGATCGCCTAAATAGCAATCTATTTAGATATAGATTTAGATATTTCTAATCATAGTCCCTGTGTTCTAATTTAGCTTTCTAAATTTGAATCTAAACTTTATAAATTTAGAAATAGATTTAGACATTTTTAATTTAGCTTTCTAAATTTGAATCTAAACTTATAAATTGGCTATTACACATCCTGCTACTACAGTGCACACATGGGTAAAGTAGGCGCTATCGTGTTACACGAAGCATTGTGTATGTCTGCAGAGATGGCAATATTACCTGAAAATACTGAAGAGCAACACAGAAATGATACACAAAACATCGATCGGCCATTTCTTTTGTATGAGGCACAGGCGCTCGGGACGTTTCTTGGATAATAAAAGTGACCTAAAATAAGGTCGGCATAGTTAGTCAGTCGCCGGTACATTCGCCTACCACACATATATTAATAACACCATGAGAACATCAACTGCTGGCGGAAAGAAAAAAAACAAGACGTGGAAAGTACTAGTAATCAAACCCACGTAGCTTAGTAGTGTCTATGTAACAGTCTGACTAGATTTTTTGAAGTGTGTAGTGACCAGTTCCACCCTAAATTAGTCTTGCATGCCGCTGGTGTCATTTCTTGTTCCTTTAAAGTGGGGGAGTCGTCACCTGCGCATGCATCAGATGTCCATAGCGTGTCATTGTTTACAAACAAGCGTCTACCCATGAGCCTTTGCGTTTTAGCGTGTGTTGTTATCGTGTTTTGGGACTCAATTCCAGCGCGTGCGCAGGTGACGACCCTGCCGCTTTAAAGCTTACACTGTAGAAGTCGGAACAAACCGAGTGTTGTGAATTTCTAGACGAAAATACAAGTACTTTCGAAAAGCGCAATACAAAACGTAGTAGACTTGCTGTCTGAGATAACCAGCATCATGAACAAAATCTAAAACTTGGCACTCGATCACACCATCCTAAACAAGGATCCATTGGGAGTACATCGCTGGAAACCCCGACATGCCTCTTCAAAAATATTCCAACACGACTTGCTTTTAAAGGCTGGTTAAACAAATATCTTTCAAGAAACCAGGTTTAACTATTTTCTTTTTTATTTAAAAATTTAGCTTAAGTTCTCGTTTAGACATACACTCAACTTATTTGTAATATAATGGAATGGTAGAATCACAGACCGGCTGAATACTTTCTATTACTCACTGGGAAAATCTATGTATTATTTTCACTTGTCTGATTATCCTTTTATTACTATTTTGTTTTGTTTTTTGCTTGTTTTTTTTTTTTTTTTTTTTTTTTTTTTATCAGTCACTATCATTGTCTGCATTGTAATATGTGGATTATGGATTTACTTTATTCTACAGTTAAATTGTCCAATCAAATACGTGCATTCATCAGTCTCGTCAATCTGTCTCTTGATTTCAATCTAATTCACTGACCTCAACTTAGCACTAGTGTACTCAGCGGACGCCGCCTGAATACCCGTATGTTTCATGCCCGTAATTCAAAACGCCAAAGTGCCAAAGCCTGTGGAGAGAATCGTGCGATAAGTTTATCTATGACTTAGCAATTCCCAAAAAAATACTAAGCATAAAAACCTACACATCACCTGAAAGCTTAGATATAGGCGAATACAGCACTGCATGTGCCATATGAATGTTTGCCTGAAGGCAAATTTTGCTGTTTCGACATTATTTTCAGTCACGCAAATGTCCCGTGAATTGTGAATGGTATGGGCTGGACGATCGCGTCTCATTTTTTCTTATCTACCGTGACCTTATCTACCTTTATTTTCTAGCTACCTCCAAATAACTACCCACGTGATATCGGCAACGGATTATGTTATTGGTGCATTTGTTAGGCACAGTGATAACAAGTGTGAATTGACTTGCATTGGAAACAGTTCTCGTATTAGTATTAGTTGCTGGTGTTCATATGTTGACTGCAAAAGATATGCGCTATACCGAGTTCAGTGAATTGCGCCCTCATTGGAAAGTAGATTTTTTTTTTTTTTTTTTTGGTGAATTTGATAGTTGATAGGGTGTACGGGGTTAAATTGAATTTCCGATGTCAAAATTCCTACTACCAATTACTTTGTTTGTATGATAAGTATATGGTGAATGCTTGTTTTTGTATGTTGGAATCGGTTTACTGAACCAATTCGACATAGGTGGCGCTATTTACAAAAGTCGCGGATGGCGCATAAGCATTATAAAATAATGTCAAAATAATGACACATTTTCTTTCCTTAGTTGCTAGGTATTTTTCAAGAAAGCTAGAAGAAGATTAAGAGAGAAGAAAAGGCGAAGTTAATAACTATCAAATTTATTTACAAAAGTCGCGGATGGCGCATAAGCATTATAAAATAATGTCAAAATAATGACACATTTTCTTTCCTTAGTTGCTAGGTATTTTTCAAGAAAGCTGGAAGAAGATTAAGAGAGAAGAAAAGGCGAAGTTAATAACTATCAAATAGTGAAGTTATAAAAGTTTACAAAAACTATATGCGCTTGAATTGATAGTTTGTTGTCTACATAAAGTTCTAATGTATCATTTCTTTCTGCAGATGTATCTTTTCATTTATTTTGTTTCCAGGACCATGTTTTTAACCATATTAAAGTGGACAAAATTACATTTAAATGGTGTTCGCCATCCCAAACAGCACGTTCTGGTATTTCATGTAAACAAACAATGTATCACGTTAAACGCGTTATATATGTCAATATGGTTCCCGTAAAGAACATGCGGCGGCGCGACGCCTGTAATCATGCTTTAATATGCACGAATTATTTGTATGTTTTATAACTATGATGACCCCATTCGTTTTGAAGAGATGTCCTGAGACGTTTAATCCCGCCACGTGACATACTGGAGTGTCTCATCGCTGTTGTAACAAAATCACTACAGGGGGCAATTAGTGTAGTGTCGCTGTTATTTTTCTGGTTAAGGTAAATTATAATAATATGAGATATATAATTCCCCTATTGACGATACAAATGAATTATCAGATACAATATTTCATGTCTTTAAATTTATGATCGGTGTCGGTGGAATTGAGATTGTAAAAGTGTACTGCTTTTAGTCATTTATTATCAATATACAGTAGATGCATGTAGTACACCTATTCGTTCATTCAAAAATAAATGTCAATCACAGACATCATAACAAAACATTGAAACATGTAAATATTACAAAAATATTCACCTATCATTATGTTAAAATGACATTGAATGGCGCTATGCAAATGTGATAATAACACCGACCATACCCGCCAACACAGTCTTAGCTGGTCACATGTCTCGTATACATCGACGATCACTTAAAGCGCCACGTGACAGTCGTCACATCCTGTTTGATGTGGATACATTGCTTGTTTCACACGAAAAATGAATGTGGGGCAAGTGACAATTTAATACTATAGCCTAATACACCTTCCCTGGGTTATATGATAATATATACATCATTATTGACACAGTATTCATATATGCCATAGCAGTGGGTCGAAATGTAAATCTCTTGGTGTAGTATTACTGTAAAATACTTAATTTTCGCTGAAGAAGTGATTCAGTAAAAATCAAATCCAGCGAATAAACCTTTGCATTCAATTCGCCAATGTAAATAAATTCCATACGAAACACCCAAAAAGTCTTTTCAGCAAAAATTATTCCAACTAAAATAAAGTATTTCACAGTACTGTAGTTGAGATGAAACTGGAATAAATACAATTTGCATACACGTTACTCGGCAACAACAATCATGAATACTATTGATTCGCCTCTAAAAAAAGTTTGGACGTAGAAGTCTAACGCAATTTGGCATTTCCTACGGAAGTGCTCATATGATTCACTAAGCTAGTCCACAAAATTGACAAATACATTCCCATTTAAATATTCTGGGTGTACAGTCTTGATTTGAGTTTACTAATATCAATGTAGAGGCCCATGTCTTGAAATTGGAAAAAGAAAACAAATATTTTCAGGAATATATACACAACCAGTCTCATACACTTCTGTGTTTAAACTGTATGTATTGCTGCAATGCCATTTTTGTCATAGAGAAATGGTTTGCCAACTTAAGGACGCAGTCTGAGTATGTGCTAGTAACACACACATACAATCACGTGACACAGAATATGCCACTAGATAAAGAAGATGAAAATACATTTATTTGAAATGTGAACAATCCAATAATGGTAATCTCACAGGCGACTGGGACTAGGAACGTGATTGAGGTAGACATCCGGTTGAACCGTCTTCCGTTTGGTCGCCGCCTCTAACGGCGTACACTTCTGATTCATTAACAATAAATATAACACGTGATTTGTTCAGTTTATTGCCCGATTCAAACTGTAAGAGAGTACCTTGGGAATTACAGAGGAAGCATATAGAACTTGATTTACTCCGCATTCAACGAACGTATCAAATGTTGATATGCCCTTTACACGTACTAGCATTTTCCGAAGGTGTCACTGACTACATTTTTTTAAAGATTTTGCCATAGAATGTGGGTATGGATTTGCTTGCAAACGTCCCAAGTGTGTATCGATCACAATTCTTACTGAATGGTCATGGATTGACTGATAACGTATTCAAGTATCATTTTATTCTAGCGTATGTAGTTATTTAGTCTATAATTGGGTACACTGTTAATAGTGGAGAACATCTTGTAATCATGAAGCTCTTGTGACGTCATACGGCTGAGTATACTCAGGCTACAGACATCTTGCAATCGTGACTTTTCGGTTGACCGCGACTTCCCGGTATAAACAGCGTCACCTAAACACTCATTTTGTATTGGCTTGAAGACAGTCTTAGCGATTCTGTCAGGATTGACATAAGTAGATATCGTCGTTGATTTTGACTTGACTACACGCATTGACCTAGAATGAATTCTAAGGTGTATGCACACACATAAACTGGCATTACAATGATTTACCACAGAAATAAACAGTCTTGTCAATGTCTTGAAACTTCCTGTTTATCACTTATGGTAATATACATGGACATTTCATTCTTTCTAGAACAGAGATGATTTCGGAATCAGGATGAGTAAGTTCACAATCAGACACCCACGAGTATGCCGGGACGTGGTAGCTATCATCGTTACATTAAAATCATAACATTGGTCATAGTTAAAATATATTAGGTGGAGATATTTATGACGTAATGTAGAAATCTACTCAAAAGTAAATATTATGCCAGTCTTTGTTATGTTATGTTACAAGAATGAAAAAAATGGGCGGTTTCTATGACAATCGATGTACAAAACGGAATGGGAGAGATCACATTGCATTTTAACATTTTAACACTGTTTCTTTGAGGATGAGCAACATTTTGTAATGAAATGTCCAGCTTACAGTCACCATAGGGACAAATTATTCCTGACTGCACAAAATAAAGTTCCAAATTTTGATAAAGAAAATAGTCAGAATAAATTCATTTTGATTATGGCAAACCATACTCTAGCACCAGCCTTAGCAGTCTTCCTAAAAAACAGCTATGGAACAAAACAGCAACAACTATCAGTGTATTAGGCTACATTTTGTGTTCATTCTATATTCTGTATTCACCATTGACTGCAAATTGTCTTTATTGTTTTTGATTTGTTTTATTTTTTTTGAAAAGTTTATATTTTCTGTTTTCTTTTTTAGATTGTAGTTTGTTTTAATTTCTTTCTGTAAGAAAGGATTTTATGCGTCTAATAAAAAATAAAAATAAAAATATGGGACCCACCGTGACTCCGAACACGACTGGACGCGACGATTGCGGCAATTTACTGGTAAATTTATGTTATAGAAATCTTCGAATGTTGAAAATATTGCTAAAATAAATAATGATTATATGATAATTGAAAACATCGAACAATATTAATATTTCTGTTCTTTTTTCACGGAATCTTTCACAGATTATCGTCGTCCAAATAAATAGAAGTCGACAATATTCTATCAGTTTGAATGATGATCTATTGTAAAATATGTTTTGGTGGGAAAACCTATTGCGCTTTCTTATATCGTTGCGATATTATTCAAAGAAACTCAATTCTGAGCGGAATCAGTTAAAATCAGACCAAGTCACATGACACCAGTAACTTCTCGGGGGTCAATCTTACACGCGCATGCTCATTAAGGAGCAATATAAGGAGCTTGAAGCTTCGAGTTTCTGGTAGTAGTAGGTTGCGAAGAGAGCGATTAAATCATTCGCAGACATGGCTGGTGCAGTGTTGGAAAATCTCAGTACACGAAAGCTGATTGCCTTGTGCGTCGTCTTACTTTTATTCCAGGCAGCTTTTTTCATGCTTGGCGGTATAATAGGTGAGTATACCATATTTAAACTTTGTTAATGGATCGGAAATTGTCAAAACTTTGCCACCGCTACAGTGCCATGGGATGCAGTGCTCGTGACCTATGTGTGGTATCAATACGGAATCAATGTTATCACGTCGCTTGATAATTGCTGTGTTCACCGATACCACGACGCGTGATACCACCGTAATGCTCACTCAAAATTGCCTAACCTCTCTCTCTAGCCGTGCACCACGGCTTCACAGTCATCGATGGGCGCCGGTACTCGAATCCTTCGGTACTTGCCACGGCGCAGTACTGTCTTGACACAGTCTGTGTCAGGCAGTGTGTGTGTACCGACTCTACCGTGTCCAAAACAACTCTTCTATATATATACTCTCTACACAAAAGTACGCTCGACCAGTCAGCCTTTCCAACAAACCCGCGACTGTCTCCGTTCGCCGACATTCCTTCTAGCATGGAATGAACAGTGTATTGATGAAAGCTGCTTCCTCTATAGACTACTTTAGCGGTGATACAAAGTGGCCTTTTCATGACACCATTGTCATCAATTCACTCCTTGTTGCACGGTGTTGTGAAGTCCTGTTTGTCAGAGTGGCTTTTATATTGTTTGATATTAACTAGATCTATTTTGACTGATGCAGTCCATGTATACGGAATGCATCAAACTATACGATTCCTGAGATTCAGACAAACCCGTGTATTTAGGTCACATGGCAAATGTATTTAATTTTTTGTTGTTCAGTGACCGCAGTTAGTAAATTGCTGCTATATCCCGAGGCGAGGCTCAATTTGATGTTTTCATTTCGGTAAATGACCGGAACATTAAAAAAACCTGAAGGTCATATTACATTACTTTACGGTCTGGGAATATGACGTCACTCTGCCACCAAGGTTAGGGTTATTTTTTTTTCTGGAGAATTATTGAAAATTAAAAGTTTTATGAAGGGGTATCTTTTGCTTATATTGATATTTCCCATCAAGTTAAGGGGCGTCGTCAAAAGATCGATGTCGGATAAAAAACTTATTTTCTTTAGTTTGGGGGTGGGGGGTTTTGACCTCAAAAAGTTTCCATCCTACAAAAACGATTTTATTTTTTAATGAAGTCAAACAAATCTTGGAGTATTTGTAATTCGTTTGTTTCTCTATCCAATCATGGACAAAAATAACAGAAAATGAAAAAAAACAGAAAAATGGTTTGGTTCAAGTGTAAATCTGTGCGTCAAATGAGGTGCATTTGTAAAAATTTTTTACACCCACCCGACAACCAACTGCTATGCAATACTACTGTCCGATTATCAATTTGTATTTAATGGTGAATGTAGTCTGACGCCATGACCAATATTTATTAAGTTTCAGAGGGGGGTAGGGGGGTTTGGAAAAAAACTAAAGGAATTAAGTTTTTTATTCGACATCGATCTTTTGACGTCGTCCCTAAGGTGATTTTGCCAGATTTCATTTCTTTACTGCACAAGTTTTTCTCCAACTCCAGAGTGTTTTAGTGTTGCTGTAATCATGGACCTACTAACACCCATACTGTAATGAAAAGAATGTGTCAGTAATGTGTGTGTGAGTGGATGAAATGATCATCATTTTATTGAAATTTGGTCCACATTTTCTTGAAAACTTATTTTGGTGAACCATATTTAGATTTGTTTATTTTATGACATTATTTCAATTTGTGTTTTTGATTTTATATGTGATATTATTTTTGTAGCTACTGTAAAATGACTAATTGTCACTGGGTAAAAATTTTGCTGATTTACCGTTTCTGGCATATTCAGTGGGTTTTAAATTCATGGTTTTATCATTTAGATAATGTGTTCTATGCTCAATTTTACATATTCACTGGGTTTTAATTTAGCGCATTTTCCAGTCAGCGAAATAAGGAAAATTAAAACCCAGTGAATAATTAACCCCTTTACAGTAACAATAAGGTTTCTATCAGGGGTTGAATTGTTAATTAATTGACTTAATTTGTCTCTTGTTATATATCAGAAATAAATCAACACCCAAAGTGATTCGCATAGTAATTAGAAACTTTAGTTGCATAATGTTAGTTTCTAAGTGCATCATGGGGAAATCTAATTTTAATTGCCTGCCGATTGTTCACCAGGGGTTTTTCTAGAAAAAATGAACAAGAGGGAGCACACACAGGCGAAGGAGTGGAGCAATGCCATATCGGAAGGTTTCTGTGCCGTTTTAATGGTGTATCTATCGCCATTGAAATATTTTTGGAGTAATTTTAGTGTATTTGGTGTCCAGACACATAGCTGGTGTTGCTGGGAAGTTTTCACAGAGAAAAATATATTTGAGAAAGATTTCATGTTGTACGGCAGCATGGAAGTGCGCAGCTCAAGATATATATTCATGACTTGAAAGTTCAATCGGCAGTTCGGTAAGAGGGCGCCAGCTGAGAGTATCAGGGCGTTGCGCCCCTGTTCCCCGATTTAGAAAAACCACTGGTTCACTGTATATTCAAGTGATACTGAAGGGAAACTGATTATGTATGCTGAATTGTCTATCAATGTAATGTCCCAAAAAGATTTTGAATAAACCTGATATTGACTGTCATTTTGAGGTCTGTTTAAAATGCGTCTTTTTGGCAACTTTTAGAAGGTATGTACGTTCGCATCTTGCCCAATGTCAGCATTGCATTCTACTTCTCTTCATCACTGTATACAATGGGGAAAATAAAATACATGTCAAAATCAGCGATTTCGCGAAACATCCAGACCGGATGCAACAACATGGAGTACATTTTGCATACTGAATTCAGGTTGCAATCTTTTCTTTTTATATACCTTGACAATGTTTCTTCTAATTTGTTCATTTCGTGATATCTTCAATTCTCTAATTTTAATGAATATTTTTGATAAAAAGTGTTATTTTCGACTTCATGTTAAAAACCAAAAGTCAATTTTTTTTTGTGTTATACTTATAGGTACCTCAGGTAGACCTCTCTCAGATTTGTTCATTTCGTGATGATATCTTCAATTATCTAATTTTGATGAATATTTTTGTCATTTTTGGTAAAAAGTGATATTTTCAAATTTTTGTTAAAAACAGTAGGTCTGATTGCTTTGATACTATACTTATTATTTTCTAATGATATCTTCTGTTCTTTAATTGAAATGTGCATTGCTAACAGCGGAGCTATCTCAGCCAACAGGCTGCTTGTTTATCATTTTGAAATCAGTATGAAATGAATATTAATTAATGAAGTAATGTAAGCACCCATTTGAGTACCGTATATAGGTGTACTGTAAAACCATTTTTCACAATTTTGATGTTTTGAGCAATTTCACTAGTTTTTAATTTAAGTTCTTGAATTTGGCAGAGAAAAAGTTCTATTGTTATTTTACATGTTCATATGGATTTATGTTAGCAAATTTATTAGATATAATGACGAAATTAAAAACCAATCTATAATTGTAGCATTTACAATACTGTAATTTTTGTCCAGTCAAATGTGGTTAGAAATTTTACATAATCTTAGTTGCATAAAAATTACCAAACTCAGGTTTTGATGAAAAAAAATAAATCTTATTCATTTTCATTAACTATGGATTGAGGTCGTATTTTGATATAGCCAATAAAAGGATGTATAAAACTGGATACTTGAAATGCTGTTTTAGTGTTTATGTTCACTTAACATCTTGAAAGGTCATGTATTAAGTATTTCCAATCATTCGTAATAATTTCTGTGCAAAAAAAGGTGAGAAGAATCTATATTTTGCTGAATTAAATTATTTCTGCTTCACAAGAAAACTTTCAAAATTTCATCTAAATATATACAGCCTGTATACATGTCTCTTCAATCACAGTAGCTAAATGAAGAAGACGATTGTCGTGCACGGCGTCTGATAACGCTAGTGAATTAAGAGTCGCATATGTGTACACAGATTGACACAAAGTAAAGTTTATTCAGTTAATGTACGGTATAGCTTTTGTAATGGAATTGAAAAGTATATAAGGAAAGCCGATTATGAGAAATGTTAGAAGGTCATCGGAAGTTTGTTTTCTGTCTATTACCATGTGATACTGTTGCAGTCACATGAGCTATCATCATACCATTCCTACATTTTTTGTCATATAGTGCTTATAATTTATAAACTTGATAGCTTTTTTTAATGATTGTCAATGTAGAGGGCCCCCCTAACATGGTTGTTTATTCGTCACCAAGAATTTATTGATGCTCTGCTAATTTATTGAATTTCAATTTCCATGGTTACATTGTAGCCATGGATACTGTGTATGGTTGTTGCCATGGATTTATTTGTGGAGAGTGTTTCTGTATTACCAAGAAATCATTTGTTGTCGCTATGTAGACACCGAGACATTCGATTTAATTTTCTCTATAGTTGCATAGAGTCACTGTAGATCCATTTCCCGGTCATCATACACGTCAGTTAAAAATGTCTGTTGCAGTTTGTTTGATGCTCGAAAGATAATTTTTAGCTCCGCTGTCGATTTTGTCGAGCGGAGCTTATCATATGAGTGATTGTCTGTCGTCGTCCAATTGCTTTGATAATATATTGCATATATAGGTACTACATGTGATTCTCTCTCATATTTGTTCATTTCGTGATGATACCTTTAATTCTCTAATTTTGGTGAATATTTTTGTCATTTTTGGTAAAAAGTGATATTTTTGACTTCTTGTTAAAAACCGCATGTCCAATTGCTTTGATATTGCATATATAGGTACTGCATGTGATTCTCTCTCAG